AGAACAAAGACAAGCATGTGGATGAACCATCTTGGGGTTGCCATGGGAACTGTCTCCTAAGCGACTCTGGGCAGGAAACAGCGAGACAGACAGCAAAGGCCTACAAGCACCATCCCTAGAGGGCGGTGTCCCAAGACCACCCCCACCCCCTTTATAACTGGGGACACAGGCCCCAAGAAGGGGCACTTGCCAGAAGTCATGTGTGGCACAGCAGAGGGGAGTATGGCTAAATGAGGACCCTGCAGACACTGGGGTCCCCTCGAAGCTCAGCTTCATCACCCTCACATAGGCCCCTCTCTCCCTCTGGCTCTGAAGATGTGGATGGAGGTGGGGTCTGTGTCCACAGCATCGCCCTGTGTGAGGCCAGGACCACAGGTGCTCTGATGAATTAATGCAGAGTTCCACTACCACTGCTTTGTTCAGGCTGTCTCTCCCCCGCCCCCGGCGCCCCCCCAGAGGCCTCCCACTGAGTAAACAGATCCCGTGTAGCCTCGGTTTCTGTGGGCAGAATGGGCAGAACTGGCTCACTGGGAGGGTCCCAGAGCTACCGGGCACTTACTGGCTGAGATGAGGTCCATGTACTGGCAGACAGCATGGAGCAGGAGCCTCTCGAAGCTGTGGAGGAATGAGCGGTGAATGGCCACGGGCTGAGTCATGGCACACATGGAGGGAGCTTGCTGCACCTGCCCCCACCAGTCACCTGTTGTCCAGCATGGCCGTGTACACGGCCTGGGGAGACACTGAGAAAAACCTCAGCAGCCGCTCCTCCCAGGTCTCCAGCGTTTCCTGCAGGAGATAGAGGCCCAGGGTCAGGCTGACACTGAGATCTGGGCCAGGCTGGCCAGGCACCCCCATGCCCAGGACAGTCTCCAGAGCTCAAAGCCTTGGGTTCAAATGTGGCCTCTGACCGGCAACATGAGGCTACGTAACGAGTTCCAAGAATTCCAGGCACTTAGAAATCTTCCTATCTTTGAATGCCTGCACCTTCTGCCTGGTGAACTCCTACACATCCTGCAGTGCCCACCTTCATTGCCCATGACCCTCCCACCCTTGACCAGCCCTGGGCCCTGCATTCTGATCACACTGGTGTGTATCCCACCCTGTTTCCACTGCAGCACGTGCACTCTGTAACTGGTGCCCTCATGCCACCCCCAACTGAAAAGTTAAGACAGGCAGGAGCGGGAAGATGGGCCCAGCCTGATACTCACCATGGGGATGCGGCTCCTCTTGAGAACGGCTCGCAGACGCCGGCTGATGCGCTGGAAGCACTCTCGGGGGGTGTAGGCTGGGTCCTCTGCAAGAGTCCAAGGCTTGGGGCAGCCGCTGAAGCAAACTGCCTGCCCGCCCCACCGGGCTCCTCCCCACCTGTCCCAGTCCCGCCCCACACACGAGGCCAGGCCCCTATCCACAAGTCTGGGTCCCCTCCACCCCTCATGCAGGCCGCACCTTTCCTCCGGTCCACCCCCCGGCTAGGTCCCCTTCTCCGGGCCTTGCTCTTGGCCTCATCCTCCAGGTATTGGAGGACCCGCTCCTGCTCCTCCCCGGAGCGGTTCATGAAGTCATTCCAGACCTGGAACAGAGGCAGGCAGGCGCTGGGCTAATGATGGGGCCTCTCTGGGCATCAGCTTCCCCATCTGGCCAATGCACACAGCGGGCCACCAAGTGTATGGAAATACTCCTTGTGGACACCTTTGCCCACGGGACCCGCCAGGAGTTTAGTTCATGGGACGCCTGAAGACCTGCTTGTCTGGGGAGAGGTATCTGTATGGATGAGCAGATGAATCATGGGTGCTGGGAGGTTCTGGGGTGGGGTGTGGGGTTCCAGCCTGGTCTGGGGAACCCAGAGGAAGATTGAAGGGGCATCCATCAAGGGACCAGAGGTAGGTGGGGACTCCTGGTGGAGGCACTAGCACAGGCAGTGCCTGGTGGTGGGAGCCAGAACAGAAACAGTGTGGCTGGAGCAGGGGGAGTGAGCGAGAGCGTAGGGAGCCCCACCTCTACATAGGTCTCATTGCTGCAGGCCTCCGCAAAGATGCCAGGTGCTGCGGGGGGTGCCAGGTCCCCATCCTCCGGACCAAGTGTGTCCCCGTCTGTCTTCAGCAGGGTCAGGAGGTATTGGGCTAGATGGAAACAGATGGTCTCTGAGCTGGGGTGTGGCGTTTGGGGCCCTCCAGGCTTCCTCCCTCTCTCTCTATTTATATTTTTTGTTAATTCTCATGGGGATATTTTTTCCATTGATTTTTAGAGAATGGGAGGGAGGGAGGGGGAGAGAGAGAGAGAGAGAAACGTCGATGTGAGAGAGACACATCTATTGGTTGCTTCCCACACACACCCTGACTGGGGTCAGGAATTGAACCTGCAACCCAGGTATGTGCCCTTAACCGGGAATCAAACCCGAGACCCTTCAGTACGTGGGCTGACACTCTAACGTCTCTATATTTATAGCTTTTATTCTCTGGATTGTACCAGCCTCCCCACCTCCACACTCCAACTGTCTCTCCCAGAAGGTACAGAAACCATCCAGCCTCCAGAAGTCCTCCTACCTCTCCCTGCCTAGGTGAACTCCTACACACCCTTTAAAGCCCCGGCTCCAATGCCTCAAGTTCCCTCTGGCCCAGCCCCAGGATCGCCCAGCTCAGGGTCAGGCCCATGGTAAGGGCAGCAGATAATTCCAACATGCATACCATTCTCATCGGAGACCTCGGAACCCCCAGGAGGGACCCCTGACCCTGACCCCTGACCCCTGCTCACTGTTCTCTAGGCGCTGGAGGCTCTTCCGCCCTTTGGCCTTGGGCACAAGGTCTGAGTTCCGCACGGCCTGGTTGATGAAGTGCTGCTTCCGCTTGGAGGCCGAGAACCTCTTCACTTGGGAGCCAGCTAGAGCGGGCAGGCATCCCGAGAGGTGCCTGTGGGCCAGGGTTTAGGGCGGGGAGCAGTCCTCAGGGCCAAGACAGGCCAGGACGCCCAGGCAGAACCCTACCACTGCCGTTCTACCATAGTCCTCACCTGCTTGGTTTCCCTCAGCAACGGCAGCTCACCCCCTGCCGTGTATGCAGCCCTGGACCCTTAACATTTAATTTTGTTTCATCGTCACATCACCCGAAATGCAGGCATAATTGTGATGACAGATTAGTAAACGGAAGCTCAGAGAAGACCCATGCCTGAATTCACACATCAGGTGGGTGGCTGAGAAAAGCTGCTCCCCTCTCCCCCAGGTTTCCAGATTTTAGCTGCAAGCTGATGAGGCCCAGAGTATACGGATTTGAGCACCACCATCCTCTGGGAGTTTCTCAAAGACTTGATTCGCCTAAGCCCAGCTTCCCCAATGTGCCCAGGGACCAGGACCAGGGAGGAGGCTGGAGTGCCCCCCTCCAGCTAATCTGCCCTCCTCAGAGCAAATGGCATTAACTATGGAGATGGATTAGCAGGGCCACCAAGCCTCCTGCTGGGGACCAGAAGGCCAGGTGCATAGGAGCAGCAGGGGGCTCTCGGATAGAAACCTCAAGGCAAGAAGGTGCTGGGGCTTTCTGGTCAGTCCCTGACAACAGCAAACCACAGGATGGTCCCCATGGACTCACATAGAGTGTGGATGGTCCCTGCTGGGCTCAGAAACCCTCACGGTGCGGGGCAATAGTGGGTTCTGGCCCTTGAATGTCTGGGGTGCCAGGATCCCCCTCCCCATGTACCTTCCCTCATTCACTCCTGTCATCTCCTGTTGCTCCTCCAAAAAGCCAGGCACAGTCCCACCTCTGGGCCTTTGCACTGGCTGTGCCCTCTGCCTGGTACACTAAGTCCCCTAGACTCCGAATGGCTCACTGGCTCACTTCCTTTTGGCTTCTGTTGAAACTTCCTCAGTGAGACTGCAACCTCTTCCGTTTAATACCTTATTGCTTTGGTTTTTGGATCACCGTACCTTCTACTCTCCACTGATGACTCCTCACCTCTCCCGATAGATCATAACCTCTCCTAGGGCACTCACAGCTATACCTGGCACACAGTAGGTGCTCAAACACACACACACACACACACACACACACACACACACACACACACTGCTGCATCAGATGTCCCAGAAAATACCTGTGGGTGCCTGTGAGTCTGGGAGAGGACAAGAGAAGCTGGGACAGGCACCCTCCCCTGGCATCCCAACCCCCCATCTGCTTGGTTTCCTCCTGTGATGGGGAGCTCACCCCCTCAGCCACACCAATGATCATAGCAACATCCCTGGGGTGAGAGCATTCACATATCAAGTCAGCACAGGATCCGACCTGAGAGTTGACTCCTGAGGCTGAAGCACGCCCACCCCAACCTCCAGATTCACCCATGGCCTCCCTGGGGCTCCAGGGCCTCGGTCTCCACTCCAGGAGCTGGACAGAGTCCAGGATGGTAGCCTGGTTGGGCAGATAACAGAAGCCACATCCTGGGGGGAGCTATCAGACATCAGAACAGGGCAGGACTCAGTGAGAGAGCTCCAGCCCTTATGGCATGGGCTCTTTGAGAAAAAGGGCTTCCTGGCACCTCCAGAGGAGGAGCAGAGCTAAGATTTGAACCTGAGTCTGAAGAGAACCCCCACATACAACAAAAGGAAGCCTCTTGTTTCACTTGTGGGTGCACAGAGATCTGTGGTGGGTTCCTCAGACGAAAGCCCACCTAGCTAAGACCCAACAGGCCCCTCCCCTGTTCCACCACCACCCGTGGCTCCCTAGCACTGTCAGAGAAAGGCCCAGCTCTTCCTTGACCTGGAGTTGGAGACCCTGTCTGTCTTGTCCCCAGGCATTCAGGGGGCTTACTACCCTCTTATGGGCCTCAAGTGCTGAGCTGAGCACTGTAAAATGAGTCCACCATCCATTCAAGCTTGCTAACTTCAACCAGATTCCAGCAGGAGATAAGAAACATGTGGCTACGGGGGGCCTGGGTCCCCCCACTCAAGACACAGAGAGGACAAGGCATAAAGGGGGCAGGGCACAGTTTCCCAGTAATTCTTATTTGTTATAAAGGCTGGGGGGAGGGGTGTTGACTATCAGTGTAAACTCTATAGAAAATTATCTCTACCTGGCAAAACATCAATGCCCAACCCCATCTCTCCTCTGGGGGCTTCCTCTGCTCCAGCCACATGGATTCCCTCCATGTACCTCAAACTAGCCAGAAACAACCCACCTCAGGATCTCTGCACGTGCTGAGCCCTATGCCTGAAGCACCCTTTCCCAGCTCTTTCTGACCTCTGCTCAAATGTCACCTCCCCAGAAGCCGCCTCAGCCCCCACTAGCCCAATCAGCCCTGCTTGCATGCTTCACCAGTTGGCATCCAAGATCAGCCGGCCCATGTATGTGTTTGTCCCTTAATCCTCACCTTCCTTGCTAGACCTGTGCAAAGAGGACACATGACGAAGTCGTCGTTTTGGTCTCTGCTGTGTCCCCAACACCGGGCCCACAGCGGGTGCTCAATCGCTGTTCATCTGCTCTCTGTGCCACCCAAAAGACCACTCTACAGATGGGGAGACTGAGGATCCAGAGCGGCACCCGAGGCTTCTGGACCAGCAGTCCTCAGGAAATGTGTGCCCAGGGGCAGGCCCGATGGTGAACAGCTGCTAAGTCAGGTTGGGTTTGGGAGGACCAGATCCTATTGCCCCCAATTCTGCTCCCTGAAATGGGGAATTTTGACACTGTTGCCCTGAGCAAAAATCACCTCCTCTGACCTGTCCCCCCCCACCCCCCTCAGGGATGGGCAAGAGAGGAACCTACTTCCCTAGCAGGAAACCAAGAGGGCTCAGGGTAGAGATGACTCAGACTGGGTGGGGCCACCCAGCAGTGGCCTCACCCCCCAAAACACAGAGGTGAGGGGCACTCTGTGCAGGTCAGAGTAACACACCTGGCAGGTAAATACCCAGGTTAAGGCCTCTTAAAAGAGGTATTATCTCTCATCCCGGTAAATACCGATATATGTAGAGATCAGCAGGGCCTCAGGTAAATGCCCAGATGAGATAACACAAGCTAATAATAAATAACAATAAAGTAATAACAAATATAATAAGACAATAAAATCCTTTAAAAATAATAATAAAATTACAATAATAAGATGTTTAAGATAATTAAAGAATGGACACTCCTGTGCTGGGCACCTCAGGGGGCACAGGGTCACTGACCCCCAGCCACTCTGAGGCCACTGTTGTTATCTCATTTTACAAGGGGGAAACTGAGGCACGGGACCGGTGGACCACACCCTTTGAACCCTGGTGTTTCGGCCTAAACTCCAGGGTTCAAAGGAAATCGGGGACCCACCGGATCCACACTCACATGGGGGAGGGGTGTCTACACCCATATGGGTTCGCTCCACCGGCTTCCAGGCTGCCTCCGAGGACAGACGGGCTCCGGTGGACCGGGTTTTAAGCCCCTCCACCCCCGGTTAAGCTGGGTTTGTAGCCGGAGACAAACCCATATACTCCGCGCCCCCAGGAAGGAGCTGACAGTCCAGGTGGGGAGCCAGCCCTGGCTGTGGGGTGAGCGCCCGGCCTGGGGACAGGAACCCCGCGCGCGGACAAAAGCCTGGGGACACCACACCGCGGCCGCCTGGCCGAGCGGTCGCAGGTGCTCCCAGGACCCCAGACGGTTCGGCACCGGGGACTCACAGGGCCCGGGGGTCCTCACACCCCCCGCCGGGGTGCGC